TTCAATTGTGTACGAATGATCATCTAATGCATATACTATACAAGAAATAAAGAGGGACAGGGAAATACGCAGCCCTCTTGTTTAATGTGTCAAGTGAAAGATGTCATATTGAAGACCAAGTGTGAAGCGTTGAAAGTTGTTAGATGTCACGTTAGCCTAAAACATCATTTTCATGGACACTCAATGTGATAACCTACACATAATTCCCACATTTCTGACTACAAGAAGATAAAAGTTGAGATGCTGCACCAATGAGTTTGAACTTTGAGGATTGAGTTGGCAGGCATGTGCAAGTCAAAAGTTAAGAAGTTTGTTTTATTGTTGTTTCTTAAGCTCGTTTTCTTCGATGCTACAAAAGTAGTAATCAACCAATGCCTAAAAACCAGTGGTTTCTAGCTGCTTCGAACAAAATCCAAACATGAAAACATGTAGATCCAAATTTACAAGAAGGATCCAAAACTTTGACCTACCTTCAATCTTTTTCCTATTCTGGCAATGAGTAACTGCTGTTTTCTGTACTTGATAGCCTTTGTTTTTACTTGTAATTGTCTCTATCTTTGCAAAATCAAGTCCATGAGACAGGAATCCTGAGAAGAACTAAAAATAGAACATGAAACCCACCAAGAGTTTATCAAGTGACGATGGACCAATGCTTCTATTTCTTCCAATAAAGCATCACTGCAATACACCATAACCCTAATCCAATGTAAGAAGAAAAATAAGAAGCCATTATTGTGACAATGCAAGAAAAATAATGAAAGGAAAGGAATTTCACAAAATGTTTTTGTTTTTAGTGGTTTAGTTATTATATGAAATGGGAAAAAGTGTCTATCATAACTTATTCGTTTGAAACTTTAAAAAATTGTTTGTGTTATCTATAGTTTTGCATCATGAAAATAAGAAGCCATTATTGTCACAACTACGAAATATTTTTGTTTTTAGTGGTTTGTTTTCACAAATATTATGCAAAATGGGAAAAAGTGTCTATCATAACTTAATAGTTTGGAACTTTAAATAATTGTTTGTGCTGCCTACAGTTCTGCATCATGAAATTTCTAATTCTAAACTACAAGTTCTTATCCTAACATCATAATATCAGAACAATATCTAGAATCAATCTATCAACTTTGTGTAAAAGGCTTGCTGAAAATTACCTGTTATGGTAAAGATCGCCAATATTATTTTTTTTTTTTTTGGGGGGGGGGGGGTAAAAGAAGCTTTGGTGAGATTACTTTCTCCATCAACAACTAAGATGCAAGCAATTACTAATGAGTATAGTAAGATTAGCAATAACGGATAATTACATAGAGGAAAACAATGATGACAACCATTTTGTATCTGTAGATATCTTTGTTTTAGAGGAAAACAATGATGACAACTATTTTGTATCTGTAGATATCTTTGTTTTTTTCTTTTCATTTTATTCTGTAAAGAGTATTAATGTAATATGTGTAAATATTAGAAGGTATATATGTCTTTTATATAATTACAAGTTAACTATAAATACAAGTCTATACAAGTCTGCGAGAGATTGGTTAAGTTTTGACCGCCTTTGTTTCTCTCTAATACTATATTAATTCTCAACTTTACATGACATCAGAGCAATTGCAATCCTAAGTACAAATATTAACCTAGTCGGCAAAACCTAATTTAGGGTACAGATCACGTTTGGTGGTGTGGTGGTGCTATCGAAGTTCGTTGTGGTGGTGGTGTTATATCGTGGTGGTGGTGGTGTTATGATGTCGGAAACTTCTGTGGTGGCCGCTGTTTGGATGTGAGGCGTCGTCGACACCGGTGGCCTCTGTGCTTTTTTGTGGCGATTGTGGTGGTGTGACTGCTGGTCGTTGACATCGGTGGCTTCTGTGGTGGTGTGGCTGCTGGCTGGGTGTGAGCCGCCGTCAACAATGAAGAAAATGAGGGTTTTTTTGAAACCCTAATCAGTAAAGAAGAAGAGATCCACTCTCTGTCTTGCGGGTCGGTTGCGGGGTTGGATAACGGAACCATGTCCACGGGCCTCAATTATTCCTGGTCCAACCCAATCAAGTTCTGGTCTAGCCCAAGATCCAGCCCACTTCAAGTCTTGGTCCATCCCGATTAAGACCAGACTGGTTCAATCTCCGGTTCAATCCCATTTTGATCCACTGTAAGCCGGCTCAGTCCTGGCTCACTCTAAGCCGGTTTGATCCTCTCTACTTCATTTTTTTTACAAAAAAGATAAGGGAATGCAGAAATGAATAAGATCAGAGAAGTAGAGAAGAGTAGAAGTAGATTAGGAGACACTTGTCGAATAAAGGAATGTCGTACAGTTACAATGTCCCAGGTTTAAGTTAGTGAGATTAAACTAAGTCAGTTATCATAATTATTATATTAAGGAGAATAGTGTCTTTATAATTTTGCTCAAGGGTAAAATAGGAAAATAAAAAATTTTCAAGTTAACTGATATTTATATGTAGTATAGATATAGATTTTTGCTTCAAATTTATTGGTTTAGGAATTATGGACGTAGTCTTGTTTTTGGCGATTTGATTTGTTGTTCCAAACATTGGTGTACAAGTAGGTGTTCCCTTCATCAGTTTGATTTGTTGGTCCAAACGTTGTTTCCCTCATCAGTTTATTGTGTAGCATACAGTGAAAATTGATTAGTGAAAGTTGGTGCAAGTAGCAGTGGAGAATATGTTTTTCTTTTCTAGATGCTAGCTTGGGGTTATTATTTCCTTTTCTTTTAAATGTTTGATAAAATTTACCAATGTTTAAGTTTTACTTTGATTTTTGACTTTTGTTGTAGAAATTTTTACATGAAGCTGATATGGATGTTAATTAAATACGTGAATTTTCCATTGAGGGTTGGATTTCATTTATGAAAATCTATATGGATACAGTTGAACTTAAGTGTATTATTTTTATTATTATGTTGTTGCGGTAGTTGATAAATGGTTGTCATAAGGCAGGACTTGAGTGTGATGGTGAGTCTGACNTAAATACGTGAATTTTCCATTGAGGGTTGGATTTCATTTATGAAAATCTATATGGATACAGTTGAACTTAAGTGTATTATTTTTATTATTATGTTGTTACGGTAGTTGATAAATGGTTGTCATAAGGCAGGACTTGAGTGTGATGGTGAGTCTGACAAGTGGTGTAGGCGATGTTTTCTTTAATTCATTTGCTTCTTAATAATAAGCAAGCTTTTACCAATTATTTGCCATTTGATAAATTATATACATATGTTTATATTTTTTTGTGCCTTGTTTTTAGAGTAAATGCTATAGTTTCTTTAAATTAATGGTGGGTCTAGATTGATTTCAAATTTTGTAACTTAAAAACAGAAAATAAATTGCTATTTTTATATTGCATGAATAATACACGATTTTGTCTTGCACGGTGCCTTCAATTGTGGATATCGAATATTTGAATTTTTGTGTATGCCATTATGCTGTATGCTGTATTGAATGTCTGTCTATTAGAAGCAATACGNGGTTTTTTTGAAACCCTAATCAGTAAAGAAGAAGAGATCCACTCTCTGTCTTGCGGGTCGGTTGCGGGGTTGGATAACGGAACCATGTCCACGGGCTTCAATTATTCCTGGTCCAACCCAATCAAGTTCTGGTCTAGCCCAAGATCCAGCCCACTTCAAGTCTTGGTCCATCCCGATTAAGACCAGACTGGTTCAATCTCCGGTTCAATCCCATTTTGATCCACTGTAAACCGGCTCAGTCCTGGCTCACTCTAAGCCGGTTTGATCCTCTCTACTTCATTTTTTTTACAAAAAAGATAAGGGAATGCAGAAATGAATAAGATCAGAGAAGTAGAGAAGAGTAGAAGTAGATTAGGAGACACTTGTCGAATAAAGGAATGTCGTACAGTTACAATGTCCCAGGTTTAAGTTAGTGAGATTAAACTAAGTCAGTTATCATAATTATTATATTAAGGAGAATAGTGTCTTTATAATTTTGCTCAAGGGTAAAATAGGAAAATAAAAAATTTTCAAGTTAACTGATATTTATATNATGATGACAACTATTTTGTATCTGTAGATATCTTTGTTTTTTTCTTTTCATTTTATTCTGTAAAGAGTATTAATGTAATATGTGTAAATATTAGAAGGTATATATGTCTTTTATATAATTACAAGTTAACTATAAATACAAGTCTATACAAGTCTGCGAGAGATTGGTTAAGTTTTGACCGCCTTTGTTTCTCTCTAATACTATATTAATTCTCAACTTTACATGACATCAGAGCAATTGCAATCCTAAGTACAAATATTAACCTAGTCGGCAAAACCTAATTTAGGGTACAGATCACGTTTGGTGGTGTGGTGGTGCTATCGAAGTTCGTTGTGGTGGTGGTGTTATATCGTGGTGGTGGTGGTGTTATGATGTCGGAAACTTCTGTGGTGGCCGCTGTTTGGATGTGAGGCGTCGTCGACACCGGTGGCCTCTGTGCTTTTTTGTGGCGATTGTGGTGGTGTGACTGCTGGTCGTTGACATCGGTGGCTTCTGTGGTGGTGTGGCTGCTGGCTGGGTGTGAGCCGCCGTCAACAATGAAGAAAATGAGGGTTTTTTTGAAACCCTAATCAGTAAAGAAGAAGAGATCCACTCTCTGTCTTGCGGGTCGGTTGCGGGGTTGGATAACGGAACCATGTCCACGGGCTTCAATTATTCCTGGTCCAACCCAATCAAGTTCTGGTCTAGCCCAAGATCCAGCCCACTTCAAGTCTTGGTCCATCCCGATTAAGACCAGACTGGTTCAATCTCCGGTTCAATCCCATTTTGATCCACTGTAAGCCGGCTCAGTCCTGGCTCACTCTAAGCCGGTTTTATCCTCTCTACTTCATTTTTTTTACAAAAAAGATAAGGGAATGCAGAAATGAATAAGATCAGAGAAATAGAGAAGAGTAGAAGTAGATTAGGAGACACTTGTCGAATAAAGGAATGTCGTACAGTTACAATGTCCCAGTTTTAAGTTAGTGAGATTAAACTAAGTCAGTTATCATAATTATTATATTAAGGAGAATAGTGTCTTTATAATTTTGCACAAGGGTAAAATAGGAAAATAAAAAATTTTCAAGTTAACTGATATTTATACGTAGTATAGATATAGATTTTTGCTTCAAATTTATTGGTTTAGGAATTATGGACGTAGTCTTGTTTTTGGCGATTTGATTTGTTGTTCCAAACATTGGTGTACAAGTAGGTGTTCCCTTCATCAGTTTGATTTGTTGGTCCAAACGTTGTTTCCCTCTTCAGTTTATTGTGTAGCATACAGTGAAAATTGATTAGTGAAAGTTGGTGCAAGTAGCAGTGGAGAATATGTTTTTCTTTTCTAGATGCTAGCTTGGGGTTATTATTTCCTTTTCTTTTAAATGTTTGATAAAATTTACCAATGTTTAAGTTTTACTTTGATTTTTGACTTTTGTTGTAGAAATTTTTATATGAAGCTGATATGGATGTTAATTAAATACGTGAATTTTCCATTGAGGGTTGGATTTCATTTATGAAAATCTATATGGATACAGTTGAACTTAAGTGTATTATTTTTATTATTATGTTGTTACGGTAGTTGATAAATGGTTGTCATAAGGCAGGACTTGAGTGTGATGGTGAGTCTGATAAGTGGTGTAGGCGATGTTTTCTTTAATTCATTTGCTTCTTAATAATAAGCAAGCTTTTACCAATTATTTGCCATTTGATAAATTATATACATATGTTTATATTTTTTTGTGCCTTGTTTTTAGAGTAAATGCTATAGTTTCTTTAAATTAATGGTGGGTCTAGATTGATTTCAAATTTTGTAACTTAAAAACAGAAAATAAATTGCTATTTTTATATTGCATGAATAATACACGATTTTGTCTATTAGAAGCAATACAAGTTGTCGCATAAGTGTGATAAAAACAATTCATATTCTTTTTCCTCTCTAATCAATAAATTGGGTTTGGCAGCAAATGTAGTGATTATTTAATGTGTTTTGGGTATGGTGGTTGTGTTATTTGAGTGTAACGGTTTTATATTCCTTTAAGAGATGTTATTGTAGTTGAAGTGGTCAAGTTTGTTTGATCAAATCGACTAACATTGGCTGAGATGAAGATATTGTGGCTTTCTAGAAAGTTCTCCATTATTGTTCTTCAAGTTAACAATTTTTTGATGTGTGATTTTGACTCGACCCTTTTTGATGTGTGATTTTGACTTGGCCTGTTGGGGCCTAATCATGGTTTTTGTTTTAGGTGTTAAGTTATTTGATCTTGCTTGATTTATATTGTTTAATTATAACTTTGGACTTAATAAAAAAATTATGGTATTGGAGTAAATTTTTGGGTTCATATGAGATTGTGCATTTATGCATATACTTGCTTGGGAATCACACGAGTGCTGCTATATTATATGAACACATACATTTTTTTTTGTTACATAATTCCTTCAGATACGACCATTAGCTAGTATATATGTAGATATATATCATGTATCTCTACATCTTTCTTTTCCTTTTACCTGTGATTGTTATTCCTCTTTTGCAATTAGGGTTTGTACAACAAACCTGGGCTTGGAATTATGGTTTGCAATTAAGACTTTTTTGCACTTTGCAATTGGGTTTCTTGTCTTTCTTTTTTTCTTGTTTTTTTTTGAATAGGAACTAATGAAAAAAATGAAATTTGAATATTGTAGAGAAACTAAGAAAGATTTTCGGGTGTAGTTTGGGTGGACCTTTTGCCGTTTCATTGAGAATTTCCACCTCGACAGTGTCGTGCAATCTGATTATCTGAGGTACTCGTTCATTTGACTTAATTTTAGATTATTTTACATATGATGATTGGTGTTTAATTTTTGGGTGTAGTTTGGTTAGGGTGTTGATTGTTGAATTATTTTCCATATGGTGTTGGGTGTTGAATTTTAGGGTGTAGGTTGGGGTTGGTGTTGGTTAGTCATTATTATATATCTTTAATAGATGTGTGATTCACTTGTTACTTTATAAATCATAATTATTACGTTAAATGTAATAATAAAAACTTAAAAACATATAATATTACATACGTATCCTATCTTTTTTTTTAAGGTTTTGCCATATCGCAATTTATTCGTATATGTGCTTTATAGATAACAGTTAACAAAAAAATGTTGCAAGGAGCCTCCAATTGAAAAGGGTAGTAAATCAAATTTCCTTGATGATACTAAGCATGCTTTGAAAAAGTAGGAGAATTCATTAAGAGGAAATGTTGACCAAACAAACATTATTGACTGAATCCCTAGAAGGTGCTTTAGAAAGCTTATCTCAGGAGAAAACATGCATAGGTTTGTAACAGGGTTTTTTAGTTGTCAACTCACTAGATTTACTGATATGCATGAATCTCAAAGTGTGTGATTCCCATATTAGTCGTTGAGATTTATTACAATATGAAATTCGACTTACCCAATTGAATCTAGTCTTGAGATTTGACAACTTCTAGTCTTGAGATTTGACAACTTCGGCGTTAGCTAACGTGGTCTGTCATTTGCTCTACTTCGTATTACTCTTAGGTGGAACACTTAAGTTCTGCAAACTGTTAATCACATCTAGGATTAGGCAAATGAGTCTCTCGTTAGTCTTTTAACTCTTCCTTCGTTTTCTTGTTGTCCAGGTTATGCCCATATGTGCAATGTGCAATGTGCATTTGGAGCATCGTAGGCTATTTTAATCCACGTGGTTTCTAGTTTCAAATCAATGTGCTTAAGCCATGCATTCCTGTGTCTAAGGCCTGCTTGTTTCATATAGAGAGAGCGAGCTGCATTGATCAATGGAGATAATTGAAGTTTGTCTTGCAAAATTGTATGATTGTGCAAATCCTCACTCAAGTAAATGGTTCTAGGCTCAGATTATGGTATCTTGATGCGTTTTCTTTTGATTATCTAAATTCATTAACAACTTTTCATTTTTTGGGTATTGGCATGTTGAACGACATGTGGTCTAGGCATACTATGTGATAGATTATATACCCGCAAGGCCTCACATCTTCATACATTGGCAACAATTTTACTTCATGATGACAAAACTATTGAGCATTAAATTAGGTATTGTCATTCGTGGTATTTTTTTTTATTGATGATTCTTTGTAAAACAGAAATGGTTATTCCTTCGCCTGTCAGACCTGAAAGAGTTATAAAGTTTCTTAAACCGTATGTCCTGAAGATTCACGTCACAAACAAGTATGTAAATGCCCAAGTTTTCCACACACCAACAGCGACAGTGGCCTCTGCAGCAAGCACACAAGAGAAGGCCCTGAGGATAAGCATGGGTAAAAACAACGGGAGTACCCATGATGTTAGTGCTGCCTCAAAGATAGGAAAGATACTGGGGGAGCGCCTGCTGTTTAATAATATTCCCGCTGTTTCTGTAGGCTTCAAGAGAGAACAGAGATACCATGGCAAGGTGAAAGCGGTAATTGATTCTTTAAGGGAAGCAGGTGTCAAACTGGTTTGAAGGAAGACTTTACTGTTGGTTTTGTTAATGTTATTCCTGAGAACTGTTTCTTTTTTTTTTTTATCCTTCTGTTTTGATCAGTAGGAAAGAACGGGCATGAACATGGTGGTATGGTTGTTCTATTGTGAATTTGGTGTCATGTTCAAGCCAGTCTAGTAATCTTTTCGTTTGTGGGATAAGACAACATAAATGCATTTGATTCTCCCTAAATCCAAATTCTCATCCATTGCTTTCTGCTCTTATATTTGATAGGATCAGTTATCATTACTTGAGGTTTCTAATGGGAAGGATATTTTTCTCATCTTCATGATACCACTTGTTTGTGATGATGCTTAGGTCAANATAAATGCATTTGATTCTCCCTAAATCCAAATTCTCATCCATTGCTTTCTGCTCTTATATTTGATAGGATCAGTTATCGTTACTTGAGGTTTCTAATGGGAAGGATATTTTTCTCATCTTCATGATACCACTTGTTTGTGATGATCCTTAGGTCATCCATAATTAAGTCAATTCTGGCCAGTGACAAGCTTGGTTGGTTTCTCTACGCCACTAATTACTCTAGAATTAGTATACGGTAGCAAAGCCGTTTCAAGGGTATTTAGAGGGATTTTTTTTTTTTTGTTTCCTTTTCTTTTAGTAGTTTTTTTTTTTTATTTATCGGTCTGTCTTTCTTTTAGTAGTTCTNGTGACAAGCTTGGTTGGTTTCTCTACGCCACTAATTACTCTAGAATTAGTATACGGTAGCAAAGCCGTTTCAAGGGTATTTAGAGGGATTTTTTTTTTTTTTTGTTTCCTTTTCTTTTAGTAGTTTTTTTTATTATTTATCGGTCAGTCTTTCTTTTAGTAGTTTTTTTTTTTTTTTTGGTCATGTAGTAGTTCACAAACTACAAATGTTGAAAATGGTTCACTTTGCTAGTACTCGTATCTTAGATATTGCCAGAAAGAGTAATTAGTGCAAAAAATAAGACCACTCAAGTGGCGAAATTTACATCTGCCAAAAAAAGGAANAGTAGTTCTTTTTTTTTTTTTGGTCATGTAGTAGTTCACAAACTACAAATGTTGAAAATGGTTCACTTTGCTAGTACCGTATCTTTTTTTTTTTGGTCATGTTGAAAATGTTAGATATTGCCAGAAAGAGTAATTAGTGCAAAAAATAAGACCACTCAAGTGGCGAAATTTACATCTGCCAAAAAAAGGAAGTCCAGTTCTGCAAAGTGCATTACCGGATCCAAAAGAAATCACAAGAGGCTAATCTTCTAGAAGTACCGTAGATGGCCAGAACTTCTACCAGATTAACCTCTATGCAATACAAATCAATCAAATGAAAACTAAGAAGATTCTAGCCTCCAGAAGGATGGATTTGTCAGATTTGCACAAAGCTGAAGATTGTGGGATGAACTTTTGTACTTGACAGTGAGAAGTTTGCTGCGGACAGTATTGATGATCTCCTTGTAAATGATTTTTGCATTCTTGTATTCATTTCTGAACACTGCTATTTCTCAGATGCGGATCCTCTGTTGTGCCCAAGGAACAACAGGATTTGCTGTTATATTAAAATGAAGCCGTTTTGGTGGCTTCTTTCTTTCTTTTTTTTTTTTTTTTTTAAATCAAACGGCACCGTTTGATTAAAAGGTAGTTGGATTAAAAGACACAACCTCGGTGTGTATGGGTAGTAGATTTGGATAGGGTAGGATTTTTTTTTTAATATCCTAACCCATCCAACCCAAAACCACTCATCTACTTTAAATCCCTAACCGTGGAGTATATCCAATTCAAACCATTGTTTGGGAAACAAATGTGTAATTTAGTGGGCCTCATAAGTTACACCAACAATTTTATATTAGTTTACCATTCTACCTATAATTCTATCCACTCTAATCTAATCCAGTCCTATCTTATATGTCTGGATTAGTAGATTATTCTAATAAAATTAAACATTTTCCACTATTAAAAGACGAGATTATCATTGCATTATGCTCTATTGAGCAAAATTGAGGTAAATTTTCACGCTTTTATGCGATTATTAGATAACAGTAACAACACTGACAATTCTACGTATTAATATATACCAAATTGCCAACAACTCCAAAGAATTTTCTTTGTAATTGATTAGAACAAAAACATGACATATATTGTATGCTAATTTGCTCTTTTATACTTGCTTTTGTCATGAATTTGTGGAGAAAAGTGTTCAATCATCTCTTTGATGGATTTTTGTGTAAATGCAGGCAAAATGATGTAAATGGTTTGAGTTAAGTCTCTATTGAAGTGTTTGAAGTCAATGAAGATGAGGGGATGACTTAAAAAAAGGTTTGGATGGTGAAGAAACCAAGAAAAATATAAATTGGATGAAAACTTTCTGGAACGTTTAGGGCAAAACCTTCTAGAAGTTTTTGTCTTGGTCTACCTTTTCACTACCAAAACCTTCTAGAAGGTTTTGCCTACTGGTTTCCTCATTTAACTGATCCTGCACAAATCTTTCAAAAGGTTTTTGTCGACCTTCTGAAAGGTTTTGACCAGATTGTCTAGACAGCCTACAACTCAAGCTTTGCCATTTGGGGGGTCCCACCTACACTTCCCCAATAAGTCCCCTGACATCCCTTACACATCTACATGCCTCCCATCACCATAGCTTAGACTTTGAAGGCTTGAGCAATAATGAGGAGGAGAGAGAAGAGCAAGACAAGAGAGAGGAAGGCTATGCTTGTCATAGCCTGCAACAAGGCATCCAATCAACCTCCTATGGATGGGAGGTCTGCCATACAGGCTATGGCGGTCTCCATGGACATTATGTATCATTTTTTTAGGCATTATCAAGGATATATTGGATTGTAGAGAGAGAAGCTCTAGGTAGAAGACATATTTAGAGAGAGAAAGCTTAGATTTTTACATTTCTTCCATCCATTTCACTTGTAATATTTCTTAAGACTCTTGTAAGCTTTATTTATTGTCTTTAATGTCATGTACTTCAAGTACATTGCAAGTTTAGTTGAGTATCTTAGCTTTTACCATTGTTGCATTTAAATTTTCATTTTCAAGTTCTTCAAATGGGTATTAAATGCACTTTCCTATAGTTTATATTTTCTTGCATTAACTTAAGTTCCAATCTTCATTTCTTTGCATTGTCTCTTCATTACATTTATGTTCTTGCTTTAAATATTCATAGCTAAGCTTTAAGTTGGCTAATCCAAGGGAGAACTCCGCTTGGGTATGCTATTTCAACTCATTTTTATTTTTCCTCGCAGTGTACGATGACTCGATTTAACCAGGTTGAGTGCGGACGTGGTTATGAGTTCTTGATACACCGCAGACATTGTCATGGGGTATGCTTGAATCCTCACCTCCATTTTGGTCATGCGTTTCCTATGAATCAATCGAACATCTAGGCACCATTAGAGGAAGGTCTTGAGTTGATTTGACATTCCCATTGGAATGACTCCTTTGAATTAGCCAACACTTCTTCCATTTCACTTTCACCAAGAAAACAATCACAAACCAACTTCAAACATCAAAAGATTTTTACACTTTCCTTTTCTACCAAAATCACCTTCAAGACGATTCATCTCATTTCCTGAGGAGACGACCTTGGAATACGATTTCCAAGTAAAACACGACCCTCGAAAGTCTCTCTACGCTTGGAGAGCACTTTTGTTCACACACACACGCACATTTCATTCATTCCACCATTATTCCATTTTTTCATTTCTTGCATCATTCTGAGGGAGAGTGACACTCCCCTATCTTGATAAGCCATACACATATTAAGGGATGATGTCCAGAGATTAGGGACAACAATGGAAAAACATCAAGCAGCACTTACTGATTCAATTGCACTGGTAATGAGGGGGAAGGAAACAACTTATCTAGAATTGGGATCCATTTTCCCCCCATTGTTCAACAATCCAAGTAAACAAATCATTTTCATTTGTAGGGAAAATTTGTTGGAAACAAAAATCTATTCAAATAATCTCAGTGTTAGCAGATGCTGGTACTTGTAGTCACAGTATATGATCGTAAAATCGTCTGATTAATTTGCAGTTCTCAAGAAAGATGACTAGATATGAACATAAATGGCAAAGAATACAATATTACCTTTATTGTATTCCTATTTTTGCTTGCCTCTTTTGCCAATTTAGGATACATTGACGAACTCAAGTACCATTGACTAACAACAGCTTGTGACCTTGGTTGAACAAATGATTTAGCATGGTGCACTGATGCATTTTTGCCTGTAAAACGATTGAATCTATTGACAATTTTAGTATTTGACAAAGTTTGATTCCATATAGGCAAGTAGTTGATGTTGGAACAGTGGGTTTTGTTCTTGTAACAAATTAAAAAGATATCTTTGTTGAAATTTTTTAATATTGGACTTTCATTAATTGATAGTTAATTTTGAGTTTGTGAAAAATGGACTGAATTTATGGTCCAATGAGATAAGTTTAATATTGTTAAGTAATCTATTTTGATGGGTTTATGTGCATCTTTTTAATTGATGTGGTTGAGGCGGTTAAATGTAAGCCTTAATCTAATTATAACCCATAATGTGAGAGTGTATTAGATTCATTATAAATAGTAGACTAGGTCCCTTCTCTACTTCATAACCTAATTTGGCTTGTCCCATTGAGAATCACCTACTCCTTTGAAGAAAGAGAGGAATACCTTACCCATCGAAAAAAACCTGAAGGTCGAATACTACGGCTCACACAGGTATGGTCTAAACTTATATGATTTAAATCTTATAATTTAAGTGTTTTAAATTTCATATACGAATTATTAAAATTCTTACAATCTCTTGGAAGACCCCCAGTATCGGTTGACTAGTTCTTTACTCTCTAACTTATTTTCTGGCATTAACAATGAATACCAATAACAGCTAGGAAGTCTTCAACAACTATGGGACCAACAATAGGTTCTAATATTTGTTGGAACCCGTTAGTAATAGTTGTAATGGAAGGAGTCAACAATTTATGTCACCATTCTAGACCATTTAGATGGTTACACCCAATAATTGAATAGACAGATAAGAATACGAAGCAACAATATTACAATCTTGAAGATGAAAATAGACCTGCTCCAAAAAAGAAGAAGAAGATGAAAATAGAGCTTATAGATGAAACGCCGAATTCCATTGGTAAATAGTTGTTTCTCCATGACTCTAGCCATTGTTATGGCCTTCCCTGCTCTATTTTTTTTTTGGTAGATCTT